CAAAGTCCCTAAACCAACTCTCTGCTGCCTTTTTTTTTTTTTTTTTTTAAGATTCATTTATTATTTACACAGTATTCTGCCTGCATGTGTGCCTGCAGGCCAGAAGAGAGTACGAAATTCCTTTATAGATGGTTATAAGCAACCATGTGGTTGCTGGGAATTAAACTCAGGACCTTTGGAAGAAAAGGCCAATGCTCTTAACCTCTGAGCCATCTCTCCAGCCCTCTCTGCTGCCTTTTCAATGCTAAAATTTGTCTTCATCAAGAATGGTTCATACAACTAATTTAATAATTTTGAATGGTGGTTTTATCTATCTATAGTAGTCTGTAGCAATGTATATATTACCTATTGGGATTTGTGTAATAAATCTAAGGGAATAAAATTTTATAACTATAAGAGAAAAAAAGTAGTTGGGGAAAGTGGTACACACCTGTAATCCCAGCACTCAGGAAGGCACAGGCAGTTGAATCTCTTGAGTTCGAGGCCAGCCTGGTATACAAAGCCTGTCCAGGACAGCAAAGGCTACACAGAGATACCCTGTCTTGAAAAACCAAAACACAAAAGACATCCAGTCCGTTTGGTATCTACTAGACTTGCCTTTATTACTATTATGGGCTATGTATGATGCGTATGTAGGAATGCTGCCAGTGTGTGTGAAGGTCTGAGGAAAGCCTTGTGGAGGGGGTTCGCTCCTTCTACTTTATGCAGACCTCTGGGATCTCACTCTATTCCTTATGCTTGGTGGCAAGCACTTTTACCCACTGAGCCATCTTTTTGTTCCTGGCCCCATCCTTTCTGATTTGGTATTCCAGACCTCATTCTCCAGCCACAAAGAACCAAATTTCATCCACTGTTCAGTAAATACTGAAAAACACTGGTCAGTGTGCGCCTTAAGAAAAACCTTCTAGAGACATTTTAACCCCAAAGCCGCCATAACAACTGGAAACCTAATAATTTAGGCCACAGTGATCTGGAAGCACAGAAACATCCAAAGTCAAGTTCTGACTCATGGTTTCTTTTTAATCTTAGTAAAGGTGCTAAGTGACAAGTAGAAAGTGAGTCATTGCCACAGTGCTGTGGGCTGAAACTGGACTGCTTGCCAGAAAGGGCAGGCAGCCCGAGCTGCTCTTTGTGACATCAGCCCAGGTTCAAGCTGACTAACCTGGTCCATCCTGACTAAATCCTTGTAGGGCTGACTGAGTGGGTTGCAAATCCCTGTCCTCAAACATGGAGAAACTTTATAAACCTGACCAGTACAATATCATTTCCAGACAGGGTGGAAGGTGGTAGGCAGGACAGGCACCTACTGAAGTTCCTGGCTCCCAGGGGCTCCCAGTAGTCTTCTCTCTGTAACTTTCTTTAAAAAAATAAAAATAAAAAAATATGAGATTCATCACGTACCACAAACTATCCTGGGCTTGTTCTGAATTTGCCACTACAACTTGAACTTCAGGTCCTTCTGCGACTTCAGAAGTGTTGGATGACACCTTGCCTTGTTTTATGTGACTGAAGTCAGGGCTCAGCAAGCACTATACCTTGCTACACCTCCAGCTAAACAACCATGATAGATAGATTCTCACTGGCGACATCTGACATCTTTTCATTGGAAGTCATTAGCAGTAATTTGGATATCACTATTAAGTTGCTTTAATCTTCTGGAATAAAGTAAAACAAAACCGTAAGTCAGGGATGTGGCTTAGTGGTAGAGTGACTGAAATGCATGAAAAAGAAAAAAATAAATCAAAGGGTTTTTTGACATTCTAAAATACTTTAATAATTAAGATTGGTGGGAAAACTGATATACAATGTAATTATTTATTTTACAAGACTCTGTACATTAGGGAAGCACATTAATGGTCAATAGGCTAGGCTTTTACTCCTTTACATTGTGATCGTGAGCCTCAAGCTCACGAGGAAAACAAAATCAACTTTTATAGACATAAAAACAAAACCACTGACTAGAGGCCAGGCTAACATACCATGTTCCAGAAGACGAATGAGATGAGCAGTGACTCAGAGCCCTTGATGGCACACAAGCAGACCGCTCAGGCTTGGCACAGTGAGGAAAGCGGCAGCGAGAAGGCTGCAAAGTCGCTTCGCCGTCAGGTACAGTGGGCACAGCTATGGTCCCTGTACTTGGGAGGTAGAGGCAGGGGGATCCTTGGCTACAAAGCGAGTTCAAGGCCAGCATAGACTACATGAGACCCTGTCTAATAAAACAAAACAGAAAATGTCATTTGAGCCATAGACAGCAGAGGCATATGCAAAGCGGACTCCAAACCACCAGGAAAGGGTGTTTGGAATCTAGCTGTGAGAGAGCAGGGGCAGAGCAACTGCCTTCCTTGTGAGACCTTTGCTTCCATCCTGAGCACAGAACAAAATGCAATCAAAGATGATGATGAACGTCAGCAGTTCCGGCAACCTTGCGTCTAGATGTCCAACAGACTTAGAACCATCATTGGTTTTTCCCTCCTTAACCCAAGTGTTCATAAGCTTTGAGGAGGTGGGGATGCAGTCTTTTTTTACAGAGCCAGAAACTGCCTAGCAGTAACAGAAAAGCAAACAAAACTACTACTTCCCCCACAGAGAACAAAGTACTACTTTTAAGGTCACTTTCACTTTTTCGTTCACCCTATAACTCTTTAGTAAGTGTGATGCTGACAAAGAGAAAATTGCTGAAAGACTATAGACAGAAAATAGAATAAAGCAAAAAAAAAAAAAATTTTTTTTAAGAGATACAATTTGCTAAAATATTAAGGTGAGTAAAAGCTGTGTGCAACTGTTGACGCCTAGGACCCAGCCTGGAAAAGCTGGGGAAGGAAGACCTCAAGTCAAGGGCTAGCTTGGGCTACACACTGAGGTGCAGACTAAAACAAAAACTAAAAGAGAAAAACCAAGATGTAGTTCTCTGCCACTTACAATGTAAATGGCAATTAGAAGGGAACAGTGAGGCTCTATAGGTTTCAAGAGAAAAATTCTGCACCACAATACAAATGGAGAAGGCCTGATCCACAAACTTAGGCACCAACCACACTGACTGCAGCATGGAATCTAGAAGGCAAGTGAGGTGAGTGCAGCTGGAGAAAGGCGCTGCTGGAGTAGAGAGGGCCAACAGCACCAAGGAGGCTAGAAGCATGGCACCAGCAGCATACAATGCTCCCACGGGTGCTCCCACTGGCTGAAGTGATTTACAGTATCATTTGGTACAAGGAACATGTAATAGTCTGCAAAGTCCAACCCATGAGTTCTCTGCCAAACTGGCATTAATAGTAAGGCCTTTTTCTTGGTTTGTATATAGAAAATGTACATGGCTTTGTCATTTCAACACTCGGGTTCTGATTACAGCTCAGACTGTTTAATGACTAAATTTCTATCATTTCTTTATGATCACTTTAAAATGTGGACCAGTATGAAAGCCAAGCATGATGGCTCATGCTTGTAGTCCTAGCACTTGGGAGGCTGAGACAGGACTTTGAGGCCAGCCTGAGCCATAGGACAAGACCTTGTTTCGAAAAGGAAAGGAGCTGGGATGACGAGTGCCACGAGGATGAGCAGGTCAGACCCCAGTCTCGCTCAGGTTCACTGCCATGGGCGAGGAGGTACAGTGCAATCTTCAACTGACGCCAGTGAGGCCCAAGCACTGCTGGAGGCCAGGCCCTTTGCTAGAAGGGCTGGTGCCTCCACAAGTTTATTTTCTTTTCCCTGGCAAGAGGATTTACTGGAACTAATGCCTCCATGAGAGGGTCTCACAGTTAGGGCAGGCAGGTCAGGCTAATGGTCCCAGTGCCTCAGCAGTTGAACAATGGGTAGTTGCCTTGGGGTGGGGTGCGCTGCAGCCTGTAAAGCTCAGAAGCCGCAAGGGGCCCTGAGCTTCTGCAGCTGGTGAGAGAAGAGCCCTCAAGTCTGCTGCAGTGCTGGAAAAAGGCTCAAAAGCAGCAGGCGGTTCATTCTTCGCTAAGGGCAGCACAAGAATCCGTTCCAGTACCAGGCTACATTCATAGAAGTGCTGTTCGCCCCTGAACCAGATCCCAGAGTAGCTCTGGCTGTGCAGGAAGTGCTATGGTCACTCAGGAGACAAGCAACAACACAGCTCTGTTTTTCTGATGGCCCTTTAGTTCCTTTCTCACACTTTAGCTTCATGGGCGATGGTAGCTGGAAAGGGACAAAAAGGGAGAAGTTATCAGACAATGGAGACTGTTTTCCTAGTCTTTAAATTTGTCTGGGAAAAAAAAAAATCAGAGGATTTTTATTGATTATAAAAATATACAAACTTCAGCTGTGCATGGTGGCACAAGCCTGTGATCCCAGCACTCGGGAGGCAGAGGCAGGCAGATCACTGTGAGCTCAAGACCAGCCTGGTCTACAAAGTGAGTTCACAACAGCCAAGGCTACACAGAGGAAGTGTCAGGTGACAATCTAGAGTGTTAGTCTTTGTCCTTCAACCTGTTTGAGTCAAGGTCTCTTTCTCTCTGTCTTTCTGTTTTGTTTTGTTTTTGAGACAGGGTTTCTCTGTGTAGCCTTAGCTGTCCTGGACTCACTTTGTAGACCAGACTGGGCTCAAACTCACAAAGATCTGTCTGCCTCTGCCTCCCTGTGAGACACCATGCCCAGCTGGGTCAAGGTCTCTTATTACTGCTGTGTACACCAGGCTAGTTAGCCCATGATCTTCTGAGGATTGGCCTATATCTGCCTTCCACGTCACTGGTGCAAGGGGATGACAAGACACTCAATGCTGTAGTGTAATGTGAATTCTGGGGACCAAACTCATCTTTACATTTCCCCAGCAGAGCTCATGCACAGCCACCACCTGGGCCCACAGTCTTTGTTTCTTAGTACAGTCTCAGGGAGTCTAGGTTGGTCTTAACTCACTACAGGGATGGGCTAGTCTTGAATTCCTGACCCTTCTGCCTCCACAGTCCACCTGGGATTATGGATGTATGACACCATGCCTGGCATTCTAGAGCAGCAGAGTTCCTGCAATCTGAACAATTTTGTTATGTTTGTCTGTTGAGGAAATTTTATTTAGCTGAAAATATTTGGATCTGTTGGGTCTCACCGTGTAAAATGTTTGCTGTCTTCATGGACCTCCATCTCCGAGCTTTTAAATTCATTCAGTTCTTTTCTTATGGCGGCCTGTAGGGTAGAGGTAAAATTTAAGCATCTTTTCTCTCCTGAGGGGCAGCTGTGGGACTCACCATGTACCTTACCGTCAAGGGGAGCCACAAGTCTTGGGCACACCCCAGAGTGTGTGTTTATTTTGACACCAGCTCAAGAGCCAGCTGAGCTCTGAGCCAGACACATGTCACCATCCATAATGAACTATGCTTCATCCAAACCCAAAAACCTCAAGTTAAGCCAAAGTATTAAAAAAATAGACTGTACCATCTTTGTAGTTTTCACTGCACATTAAACTTAGTTATAAAAGTGAAGTAAGTATAATTACTTAAATTTCCTCCAATTACTGCTGTTAAAAATGTTTTATTGAGGGGTTGGGGATTTAGCTCAGTGGTAGAGGCCCTCACACAGGTTTGGTCCTCAGCTCTGGGTAAAAAAAAAAAGAAAAGAAAAATGTTTTATTGGAGCTGGGTGCAGTAGTGCACACCTGTAATCCCAGGACATGGGAAAGCAGAGGCAGGAGGATCACTGTGAGTTCGAGGCCAGCCTGATCTACAAAGTGAGTCCAGGACAGCTAGGGTTACACAGAGAAACCCTGTCATGAAAAAAACAACAAACAAAAAAGTTTTATTGGGGCTGGGAAGATGGCTCAGCAGTTAAGAGCACTGGCTGCTCTTCCAGAGGATCCAGGTTCCCCCACAAGGTGGCTAATGATTGCCTGTAACTTGGCTCCAGGGCATCTGATGCCCTCTTCTGGCATCTCTGCATAGACATACATGCCAACAAAACACCCAGACACATTAAAAAAATTTTTTTTAAGTATTTTATTTTCATCTCAAATTTTTGTTCTATGATATAGCTGTTTTCTTTTAATATTGAATATAAACTCTGGGTTATATCTTGGCATTTTGTATCTTGCTTTAAAACTTAGCATTCTATCAAACCTCAAAGCATTGTAGCAAGCTTCCCCTTCTCATTAGTAACTTGCAAGAACATGGATTCTGAAGATGCCCACACTGGGACCTATGCTGTGCTTTGCCAAGTGCCTCCCTTTCTGTTACTCCCAAGCTTACATCTATGTCTCTTAAACCCTCAGTGTGTTTCAAAATAAAATAAAAACAGAAAAGAGAAGAGTAAGAGGGAGAGTATAAGAGAATATGTGAGCATTTTCGAGTTACCTTGTCAGCAGGAGTCAGTTTGGTCCACGGTTTATCTGCGCGACGGTCGTAGTCTTGTGCATCTGTCACCTCCACATACTCATTAAACCTCAAGATCTTCCTGGCAAGTAGTTCAGCCACAGTTGGCCTTTGACTGAGCTGAAAGAAACAGCCACTCATACATTAAAGTCGCCTTCACCACTCACTGGGCATTTTCTTTTGAGATAGAGTTTTACACTTAGAGCTCAGGCTAGCCTGAGACCTCCTGCCGATTCAACCACCTGAGTGCCAGAACAGGCAGATTACTGGGTCCCCAAAGCAACAAAGGGCTTCAGAGTATCCGGGTTTTCATTTTGGGCTGGCAAGGTTAGTGAATAAGAGCACATGCTACCACATCTGGTGAACTGAGCTTAATCCCTGGGACTCAAGGAAAGAGAGAACTGACACAAGTTGTCCTCTGACTTCAACATGAGTGCCAAAATGTGCAACACTACACACACACACACACACACACACACATACACACACAGAAAAATGTCTAGGAAAGTATAAGAGCTTAGTTGTTTTTTTTATTTTAATTCACACTGTACAGAGAATCACTGCCATGTTCCATGTTCCTCCAACTTTAATATGTGCCCTGAGAGCCTGAGGACCTGCTCACAACATGGATTCTGCCTGAGGACGGAACTCAGTGCAAAGCACATGGTTAGCATACTTGACACACTTAGTCCATTCCCCTTTCTCCTCTCTGTCCCGAGAAGAAGGATATTCTGATTAAACGGGTCTAGAATAGACCCTAAGATTACCTAGCTCTGAGAAGGTCCAGGATGCCTGGTCATTGCAGATTCTGTGAGAAATTGTATATTTTTTTTTAGTAAAGATTTATTTATTTTATGTGAGTAAGTACTCTATCTGCATATGCACCTGCACTCCAGAAAAGGGCGTCAGATTACATTAGAGATGGCTGTGAGCTGCCTTGTGGTTGCTGGGAATTGAACTCAGGATGTCCATAAGAGCAGCCATTAAGTGCTGAGCCATCTCTACAGCCCTGGAATATATGATTTAAGGCTGTACAATTAGGTAACCTTAAATGATAAAAGGCAGTAGGCCAGGAATAATCTCTATTCACCAAAGATAAAATATCCACAATTTCACAATTTCACAATTCTGGGAACTCTGTTTCCTTTTAAAAGTTTTTTCCTCTATCTATCTATCTATCTATCTATCTATCTATCTATCTATCTATCTATCTATCTATCTATCTATCTATCTATCTAT